GAGAGAGAGAGAGAGAGAGAGAGAGAGAGAGAGAGAGAGGGAGAGACAGCGAGAGACAGACAGAGGAAACCTCCCCTACATACCTCTCTACGTCGTGCGAGTCGTAGTCGCCCCATCTCAGCTGCACGTCGATCCAGTACTTCTGCGTCGTCGAGCTGTCCATCGTGTCCTTGGAGTCGGCGAGCAGCGAAGGTCGCGACACGTGCCACTTGTAGGCGGCGAACAGAAGGATGTCGGCGCACGAGCTGTTCATCTTGTACGACTTGCGCGGGTGAATCGTCTCCTTCTGAACGGTCTCGATCTCCAGCGCGTCGAGTTCCTGGTCGAACACCTGCGGAACGAACAATGCACGATGATGAACGCGCAATGAACAACACGTGGAACAATGTGTGACGAACAACACGTGGAACAATGTGTGATGAACAACACGTGGAACAATGTGTGATGAACACGTGGAACAATGTGTGGAACAATGTGTGATGAACAATGCGTAAAACGATGAATGAACGTAAACATCTCGATCGCGTCAAGCTCCTGATCGAACACCTGCGGAACGACGAACAACACGCGATGACGAACAACGTGTGGAATGATCAACAAACACAGGAAGACAGATAAATGAATGCAACAATCACAGGAGGTCCCGATCAAAGATCTGCTGAACAACAAACAGCACGTCATGAACAACATGTGAGGAACGATCAACGAACGCAACACACCGAACAACAATGCATGGAATAACAGCATGAGAATCGAGTTTAGGAGAAACGATAGCCAGTAAGTTAACTTTAACAAACAACAATACAGAATCAAACAATGAATCAACAATGAATCGTCAATCAACGATACACACCATCTACACGCTTTTCCGACCCAATAAACATTTCCACGATGATCGGACAGTCGTTGAGAAGGGGGCGCCACCGCCGCCTCCACGCGCACGCGCGTACCTGACACAGGTCCATGACGACGCTCTCATGAACCTTCTGCCACAAGTGAGCGCGGAAGATCTGGATGAGAGAGATCTTCAGGGTCGGGATCTTGCCGTGCATGAATATCCCCGTCAGGTCGAGCTGCACTTGGAAACCCACGTAGACCTGCGGCAGAAAACACGTCAGTCATCCACTCGTCAGTCTCCCAACATCCCCGCCAACCCCCCCATCCGTTATTACGACTCCTAAGTAACAGATGGAGCTAGCACAGTAGAGACGATGACAACTGACAATAACTGTGATGACAAACCATTTTACTCATTACACGAGGGAATACCACCTCCCCGCCACCCAACAACCCCTGCCAGCTCATCCAGCCAGTTTCCTAACATCCCTACAAGCCCCTCCCAGTCTGTACCCCCTGCCATCCCTGCCACCATCCACTCATCAGTCTCCCGACATCCCTGCCGACCCTCCGACCCGTCACCCAACATCCCCTCCGGGTCCTGCTTGTTCTCCACCAAACATCTTCGCCAGCCCTCCCAGCCATCGCCTGACATCCCCGCCGACCCCCACCCGTCATCTCCCGACATCCCCGCCGGCCCCCTCGCGCGCGCGCACACACTCACGTTGGCTCGGTTGATGGTGGGCGACCACCAGAGCGTGAAGCGGCGGTTCGGGATCTGGTTGAGACCGGATCGCTGAGCGTTCGTCAGCTTCTTGTACTTCATCGATTCCTCGAACCCGCTCGCCTTCTCCCTGTAACGACGCAGACGTGCATCACGTGTTTCAGTTACGCGTTTGTTTCTCGTCTCCAAACGCCGCGGGCCTCGCTTCATCTCGCGTCGCAAATGTCGTCTCAATGTCAGTCTCGAATGTAGTCTCGATCTGTCGGACCTCACTAAACGTATGTCTCTCGCGTAGTCTCAATTCGTCGCACGTCTCTAAACGTGGGCTCGACTCGTCGCTAAGTGTAGTCTCAAGTCGTCTCGCCGACTCTTGCGTCGCTAAATGAAGTCTCAAACGGAGTCTCAATCTGTCTCACGTCGAAACAGTCTCAACTCTTAAGTATCAATGTCTCTAATCATAGCGTTAACGCGTCTCATATTTTTAAGTGAAGCCTCAATTTTCCACGCATTTCTAAATGTCTTAATCTATCTATCCTCCATCTCTAAATGTCAACCTGTCCGACTGTTTAGCAACCGTTGCCGTCATCAACCGACGCTCACTCACCAGAAGAGACCCTCCCAGGTGGGGAAGTAGGTACCCTTGAAGAGCGTGTGCTCGAGAATGCCCTCAACGCCCCCTAGTGCCTGGATCATGTCCGTGCGGTAGTTGTTGAGGTTCCACAGCTTGCCGTCGTGCCGCTGGTGCGTCCACCAGAACGGGTTCTGCTTCAACACCTGTACGGTGACAACAACAACAACAACAACGTTAAAAACAACGTCACCAACAAGAACCTTCATTCAGATACCCGATGACACGGACTACAGAGAAAGGAAAGATGTGGGAGGGACCAAGACAGATGCGGCTACGGACAGAAACAGACGTAGGTGAAAATCAAGGACAGAGATGTGCGAGCGAAGCAAATCAAACTCGGAGTACGGGGAGGAGGGGGAGCCGCAATCCAGCGTGACGCGTGCTGCCTCCACGCCGCAAGCCAGCGTGACGCGCGCTGCCTCCACGCCGCAAGCCAGCGTGACGCGTGCTGCCTCCACGCTGCAAGCCTGTGACGCGCGCTGCCTCCACGCCGCAAGCCCGTGACGCATGCTGCCTCCACGCCGCAAGCCCGTGACGCGCGCTGCCTCCACGCCGCGCTGCCAGCGGTGGCGCCACCCACCTGGTACTGCTTGAAGTCGGTGCGCACTCTCCATCCCTTGTCGTAGGCGAGCGTGTGCCTGTCCTTCTGGAAGAGCGTGTTGATGCGCGGGATGCCGCGGTCCCACGAATCCTCCAAGTCTTCCAGCGTGAGCCGCCTGCAACGACGACGACGCGGCGCGCGGTAAATACGCGGCGCCACCTACTGGGGGGAGAGGGCGACGTCTCGCAACATCAGGGTTCATAGTAGTAAGCAACATGTTGAAATAAGGACTTATAAGACCCTTTCTGGAGGCCAAAATAAGACTTTTTTACGCGATTTCTGATAGATCACCGACTATTAAAGTACACTAATAATATTTATATACGCAATTGCACATCAGATTTAATTATTCCAGATTATATATACAACAATAATATAAAAAATAAGGACTATTAAGTACTTTTCTAAGATTTTACCAAAAATAAGTACTAATAAGGGCCCTTATTTTATTTTTGGCAAAATAAGTACTTATAAGACCTTGGCAGACCCGCTACGAACCCTGACAGTGCGGAGCATCGCGGGACGACACGGAGAACGAACGGAGAAGCGATGCAAATGCGACGAGTGTTATCCGATGAATGACTGATGATGAAGGTCATCAGATAAGAACACCGATGAATGAGTGACCCTGTCAGAAGCTTATAAACGAGTGACCGTGTAAAAGCTAATGAATGAGTAAATGTTTAGGATCTGCTACGTTGATCTATGGCGGTTTAGGATCTGCCGCGTTGATCTAATAAATGAATAAAAAATGAATAAATGAAATGAAATGATAGTTGACGAATAAATGACGAGTGAGTAAAGGATCTGCCACGTTGATTTACCGCTCCCGCGTGCGCGCGCTCTCACCTGTTCTGTGCATTCGCCTCCTGTCTCTTCAGCGCATACTCTGCCCACACTCGCTGCGAGTCAATGAACTCAGCCTCCCACGGCTGGATGTACCTGTAACGAAGCCGGTAACGATGCACCTGTCAGGTAACAAACGACCGCCGCCGCCATGTAACAACGTACCTGCGCTACCTGTGCAGGGTAGCAAGTAGAAATAACGCCGGCACTGCACGTGTTGTACCTGCCTACACACACGCACACATGGTCTACGCAGTATTTTATAGGCGCGTCATAGACAGTTACAGCAGAATTAATACAGCCCTACCTGTGTTATCAGTGAGTAAACAATTACACACTAATTTAAGACCATTATTTTAATCTATAATTTTAACGCAGTAAAATTTTAACAGACCATAATTTTAATGCACAATTAAATGACCAAGTGGTGGTGACATCCTGTACGCTGCTGCGATGTACTGGCTGTTCGTGTGGCTGGGGGAATAACTACAAGCTGTGAGAATGAGGGTGCGTGCGTGCCCACTGCACGGATGCTACCTGTACAGGTGTCTGTGTGATGTCACCTGTGTAATGTCGCCTGTGTGATGTCACCTGT